GGTGCCGATCTATGTCTCTTGGGTAATGCATGCCTGAAAAGTGTGATCATTTAAGGAAGTTCAAGAAATAAATGAACAAAAAAATGCATTCAAAGTACTTGGATATCCAATTTGAAAACATTCTGACTTGCGGTTTCGAAGAAGAAGTTGAAATTGTAAAGTTGGCAATGACGAACAATCAGTAATATGAACAGCTCTGCTGTGTCGACTTTGTCGATAGTTTTTTTTTATTTATTTTTATTACAAGTGCAGAAAAAGACTCCCTTGGCTGATGCCAGGACATGACCTCAATTTCTTTATTGTATCAAAATTGGGGGGTGGGCGTTTACCCCTGCATGGGCCCTTACTAGGACAACTATGGTAATGTACATTTCTTGGCCTAAACAATAATTAAATCATTAAGTGATGTATAGTCGATATTGATATTTGTTTTGTGAGATTAGCACAAATTTGTAATATCAGTGAATGAAATCTTCACTCTCCATGACAACCATAAAATAAACAAATCATAAAAATGTTCACAGCACACTGCAGATTTGTAGAATGGTAGAGATTTACAGAAGTACAGAAATGAAGTGTTTTAACATGGCAAATGGATGAACAGAGAATAAGCATTTGTACTAACCTTACAGTACTTAATAATAGTATTAAGCAGATACTGATCTTCTGTCTTCTTCCATTTTCCCAGTCTTACTTTGATACCTAATAAGAGTTCTAGATGTAAACATCACACTGATTGTATGCATCTCGGTTTTAATCAAAGGTAGACAATCTATCAAGGAATGATAAGATGAGGGCGTGCAAGTGGTCTGATAGGCAATGAAAACTGCCCATGAATTGTGAGATGATCACAAAATTATCCAGCGTAAATTTATCAAGTTTTCACTTTTTAAAACTAACATTAAACTAATAGTAATTATAGAGACCTTTGTCATCATTTTAAACTGAAAACATTAATTACCGGTTTCGGCTGATACCCCGCCCATCCTAAAGCCCGCCCATGGGCGATGTTTCAAATAGTGGGCGATGTTTTGGTCCACACATTGCCTGACTGAACCTACAAACATTTTTACAGACCCAATTTTCCTGTCCGACACCTTGTATCCAGCGCACTATTTCAATTATGACGCTAAAAATAATTCACTGTGAAGTCGAAAAGCATAAAACTCCAATAAAACCAATGCTGTATACGAATTGTTGTTGCGTATTATTACTCGTTAAAATACATTTCACTTGCGTTTATCAGACTCGAATAAAGTCTACTTTTGAAAAGAATGTTATTTACGAAGTTTAAAATGGCCAAGCCTTCCTTATTCAAGCATCTTGGTTGTTATCAGTAATGTTTAATTTTTGTCTGTATCGCATTCCAGACAAAAAGTTCAAGATCGGTAAACAAGAAATGGGCGAACTAAAATGTCTCCTGCGTTTCACATGCGACATGATTATTAAAAAACACAGAGTTAAGCGGTCATGTACGTTCTATAAATCTAACCTTGCACACATAATCTTGTATTGACGTGTTTTTTGTTCAAAAAAGACGTTCCCTTTCAGTTAACCCCTAGTAAACTCTTTGCGTTCATGGTATTTGTGAGAGTTGAAAGATTTTTTTAACAAATGACAAGTAACTATATTGATTTGTGTCAAGCTGGATGGCCCGAATTTAAATATCAGTGCGTGAACTCTCGAGGTCATTGCCCAATGCCGCACGTGGTTAGTAGAATTCAGACTAAATGTACGTGAATATTGCGATCGAAGTGCGCTGTCCAGAGTTTATTATATTATAGTAAAATTTAACTTGACGCATAGTATGGTTTATATTACATGTTCACTTCATTTCGAATAAAATAATTCACCATTGGAACATCGATGAATCACAAGTATTTAAAATATTTTCTCGACTTTCCGTAGATACCTGACTACTATCATTTTCAATGATTTAAATGCACCCATGTTTATGTTTGCGTAATTATTACGAATTCAACGCATTATCAAGACGGTAATATTGAAATATTCACAGACCCAATACCCCAGGTCAGTGCCCTAACAATAGTAAAAAATAACTTTGCGTATTTATCATGAAAGCAATACATTACACAGTTGAAATTTTTAGAGCCAGTGCAATATTGTAAACAAATTTGTGTAATTAGAAAAGCAGTGGACTAAGTAAACAACGTTGATATATTCAAAGCCAGTACAGAGTTGCATACAAGTTGCGTAATTACTAGTACAGTACCATCGAATATAATAACAATTCTACTAGATCGAAGCGCGGACCACGAAAAAAAAGGTTGCTAAGGTAACGCGCCAATTCAGTGCGTGACTTGGGGGTCAAACATCGGTCAACACACACTTGATGTCAGAATCGCAGCGCAGCAAGTTTCACAAAGAAGTACTTGAAGTTCAATTGCGTCCCAAAATGATGTCGCCGATCACTCAGTTGTCGCAGCGTGTGTTGTGTCATGTCTATGATGCACACCGTTTCGACTTTGGCTTGCTTTTCCTTCTTAGTGCATGTTCTTGTTCACGTAAAATGTGACCTCTCACCATTGTATTCAAACACTTTGAATTTATACTTTGCATGATTATTTTTGCTCAACGCGAAACATTATTTTTTCTAAACATTTCTGAGACTATTTTTATCAACGCAGGGTTATTTTTCCAGACAATATGGGCTTCGTAATATCTGCCAAAACATCGCCCGAGCGATCTTTTGGTCCACATTTTTCTTTAAAAAATTGAATCCTCCATAACATCGCCCAGGGCGGGGTATCAGTCGAATCCGGTAATAGGCATTTCCTTCTAAACATTACATTTAGACTTAGTGTTTTTTAAAGGTTTGTATTGTGCTGTATTTGCTGGAACCAGTAAATGGGTCTTCATGCCTGTTGGTCAGCCAAAACTAAAAAAATACCTTGATCTTGAAGTTGCTCCATGTGCTCAGGGTTGACATGATACAACCCGATTTTCTTGCGAATCATTCGACGCATTTCGTCATCTTCAATTATTATCCTATAAAAAAAAATACTATTTTAAATCCAGACACAAAATTAAATTTAGTTTGCCATCACTCCTGCTATTCAGATTTAAAATTTACAGGATTTCTGCCAAGGAACACCTTCACAACAGTAAATTGGCAGCAATAGACCATTTTCCGTACACTGCGAGAATCACGCGTTATGCGTGAAATCGAACGTAAAAACAGGACAAACAAAGGTCATAGCGTCGTAGTCGCGTCAAACATCGCGTGGGATTCGACAAACGCGAAAGTATTTCGGGGACATTTCCATGCTTAATAATGTGCTGTCCACATTTGATGATAGGCAATTTCGATTAAGTGAGGGTATTCAGAAGCAATATTCCTCTGTCGAAGATCGGCCGGTCAATGTAAGCTGCGAAATAAAGAAATTCTAGTTCAAAATCAAATCGTTCGATTTTTGCGGCACACGTTCGACGCGTGTCTTTCATGCATCTCGCGAGATCTCGCAATTGTTTGGAAAATCACCTATTACATGTGATTAGTAACATTAAGACACAGATCAAATATATGATGATATATGTGAATGTAGGTTTTACAGTAAAAAAATCTCTACTCTTACAGAACAATGGACACATTTGGACTTGAGTTATTACTGTTTACATGTACATGTATATCCCAATAACTCAATCAAGTGAAATACCAATACAGAAATGAATCAACAGCAAAGCAATACACATCTAATGTACATAAATTAAAATTGTTCATGGACAAAATTGTATAATTGTGTTGGTACACAGTTTTAGCAATAACATTAATATTATGATGCAGTTGTTTACCTTTGGTCTGGTGATTTCTTTTTTTCTAGAGCTATCAAGAAAGAATACACTGAGAATTACATGATGTCAATACAGTGTGACTAGTAGAATTAATTTTTGCTATTTTCGCTGAAAAAATGATTCAGGAAAAAATAAAATGCAGCAAATATACCTTTTTTCAACTTGTCGAAAATCAGTGAAAATAAATTTCATACAAAGCACCAACAATTTTTTTTCAGCAAAAATTTATTTCAGCTAAAATAAAGTATTTAGTAGTTTAAATCTGAATTTCATACCTGCTGAATGAATATCACTGGATCTTTGAGATTTGCTATGTTTTCTTTTATTACGTTTTCTTTTGTTATGTTTTCTCTTTTTCTTTTTTTTCCTTTCACTCTCCTCCATTGTCACCTATGAAACTGAAATTTAAAAGTAATCACAGAAAGCTTATGAAGAAATCAAATGTAAAGAATTTATCTTTCGCCTAACACAGATTTGACGCATCAAGCATTGGCCAAATATTCTGTTATTCAAATATTCACATTTGTTTCTCTTTACATATGAATAATGTAATTTTATATTGTACAATTTTATTTATATTATCTGGTGTAAATAAATACAAATAAAAGGCTCATATCACACATTTTCAACACACATTTTGAGGTACAACACTGGAAATTCAGAAATATTGCACTTGTGTAATACATGTAGCAGTTGTTACAACTACAACATCTCACTAAAAATAAAACTGACATAATCATTGAACGCTGCACAGTGAGAAAGGAAGTTTATTGCCGGAACAAAGTTCTTGAGAAATTATTTCCACACCACAACAGTTGAGGGATTGACATTCAAACAACTGAATAGTAACTCACTTTCTTTAGCCGACTATTGCAACATACATGTCACACAAATGAGTTTAAAACAGGGGAGTCGTCACCTGCGCATGCGTCAGATGGTCATAGCGTGTCATTGTTTACAAACGAGCCTCTACCCATGAGCCTTTGCATTTTTTAGCGCGTGTTGTTATCGTCACTTGGGACTCAATTCCTGTGCATGCGCAGGTGACAAGCCTCTCGCTTTAAAAGTTAATCTCAAAGCTGCAGTAATAAATACGACACTGTTTTTTGTTTACTCATTTGTTTATGTGAATCAAACATGTTTTAGAAACTAGAACCCTTAAAATCAGTGTTCCAATAGCAAGACTATTGAAATGTAATTAATGGGTGCATCAATAGATGCATTCAAATTAGTATTTAACTTATTTATATACTGAACTAAAATTTAATTTATGGATTCAAATTCTTTCATATAAAAAATCTGAAAAGCCCTTGTGTAATCCTGTGATATTGATATAGTTTACTATGGTTTACCAATTCCCCCTCTGAACTTTATTTCTGTGACGTCCCTGATTTCCGGTTCTGTGTTTTGGTACTGAGCCCATACTTGTCTGATGAGTTGCGTTATCGAGTTCTCTGTTTTTCTGGGATGTTATTGTATCACAGACTTATTAATATGAAGAATCGTGACAAATGAAAATCCTATGTCGCTTAACAGCTTCTTGAAATACCAATATGACACATGAATGAGTGTACCTTCATGAAATAAATATAATGGATGTTCCAACAAAAGATTCTATTCCATATTCCTATAATGGTTGTGACACTTTCAGTAACTCTGATTGGCCTATGTTGTGGCCAAGGAGCTGCACACAGTCGTCACCGCTGTCTCCCCACAAGCGCAACACTCACTGTACATGGGCGATTCACACCTTAGAAGAATAGCATTTCTCAACCAGGTGTAGAGGGACTGTGGTAGTGCATAGACATACATGTAGCTTGTCACCTCTTTATCATCTTAAAATTGAAACCATGCCACAGCAAGTATACAGTGACTTTTTAGATTTCAACAAAGACAACATAGACTAGGAATTTGGTCTTGAAATGGAAGAGGCAGCTTCAATGGAGGAAACCGACGTTACTAATCCAGATACAGAGTTAAGTAATCATCCAACTACATCGTGGATCGACCGGTGACATCAAATCTCTAGTCATTGCCATCAGCTTCAAACTCGACTACATGTACAATGGGTTACGCTAATCTCAAGCATTCGGTAATATTCGGAGCATGTTCGGAAGCGATAGTCGAACCTCGCATGTAGAATGTTGAAAATAACGTCTAGTTTGAATGCTGTTGTTTCCGGAGATCTTGGTGAACTTTAATGGAAATTTGTCAGATATAACATTGATTGAAGAAGAACTGATGAAATATCGTGAATTTTGTATTTGTAATGGTAATGAGACTTAATCAATGATTGCTTGTGTCGATTGCATTATTCAATGGTACCATTGTCAGTGCGTAGGTTTGGCGCCCGAAACTGTCAAAATTTTTGACCACCGGACATCGGCGAACACCAACAGAAAAGATAGTATGGAAAGAAGAGCATGCCTAGACACTTTCTCTGTGATAATATTTTCTTAGTCCTCAGGAATTGTTGTTGTATGCACTCGGAATCTTGTTATAGTTACAGTCGCTAATAATTAAAACATGTGAAATTTGTGAAGTCAAATGTTCATCTGTTGAATTTCCGGTTGTGAAATACGTATTTTGAACTTTCACACCGAAACAAACCCAGTGCGCATGTGTGATGACCGTAGTTTCATAATGCGCATATATTTTATGGTCACATTAAAAATCGGCAAGATTATATCATATTCCGCTAACTCGTTACTTGTGTAAACAATTGCAAACTATCATTGACATCAAAGATGAGCTAGACAATGTTCTTATCAGGATTAATTTGGGTTGAAACAAAAGGAAATAAACCAGTTAAGAGGCTTAGGTGACCACTTGATAGGCGTCGTGGCTCCTTCTGTTTTACTACCTTCCATGCTACTAATGAATATCTTTTGATAAGACTTATAAAAGCGCAACACCTTTAAAAGGTTGGTACTTTTTTTTATAGCATACCTTCAAAGGGGAACCGCTCAATCCCATGGATTGCACCAAAGAATCATGGGACACTATTGTTTATGTTGTTTACAATGTTAATCTTTCTTTTGTTATCCATTGTTATTTTAATCCAGAAAGTAAATTTGTTGTGAGATTAGGCTTAACTGGAAGGTGCCCCTTTAACTAACTGGTAAATGCACATATTTTTCAATTACATGGCGATCATTTTTAATATAAAACATTGCAAATAAAGTAAGGCTATTGTACTACTCAAATTTTGTTTAATTTTCATAGCAGTTTTGTCAATTATATACACATCGTCGGTATACAGCCGGACCATGGAGCTAAAAAAGCTCCATGGCCGGACCCTTACCTTCCCGGACCCAAAATACCGCGAAACCACGGCTAGGCCTGTACGATACCGGAATTCTACCAGACTTGTTGAACAATATCATCAGTCACACAATTCATTCACATTCAATGGTCTGGGCGGTTGTTAATATCATTGTCCGGTTGTTGAACAGCTGTTTTAGCCATCGTTTTTTATAGAGGGACTGTGATTCTGACCCCCGGAGATCCTGACCACAAACCGGAAGGTAACATCAGCGAAGCCCATACAGTGAGTAACGAAGGCTTCGCTGAAATGTAATACGTCCCGACTGCAAAATGCTTTCATTTTTCGAAATCAATGTAATTGTCTGTTTTGATTTGAAGTGAAGATCAGATCTAAAAACATTCAGAGAAAGAACGTATTTTTTAAAAACATGGTTGTGAACTGGATCAAATAGACTAACACCAAACAAAGGTTAATAAATTACAAAAATCACATCGACGACATCAATAATAATAATGAATACCTTCCAATTTCTGTAGATGTTACTAACTCCACATTTCGGACACAAAATAACAACAAATGCAAGCTAAATAAATGTTCACCACATGTCAGAAGTTCTGTTGATGCGCAAAACTAGATGCGCATTCGAAATAAAACACCTTAGGTTACACACAAATTAAGGCAAAGCCACCTAGCCCCGAGATCTCTTTGAGCTCACACTTCCAAACGTTGGTGGCGCGATTTCAATTTCAGACGCATCACAATCGGTCTCATAACGGAAGGTAGTGGAACTACTTTCGATGGTTTTATCAACATCAGTTTCGGTATTAAATCGACAATAAAACCTGAGTAAAATCATTTCAATTTTATTAGAGCATTATCAGTTCCACTACTAGCTCTGTGTACAGGTATATAAATGAATGGGGGAGATAAATAAATGCACAAACCATGGACGTCTCTAGTACGTCCATGCACAAACAGTGCTCCTGAATTAAATAGTCAGGCTATTTATTACCTACTGTTATTTGCTAAATACCAAAAAGACAAAAAGGTTGATACTTTGTTATAACATATTTTTAATTAACTTGTAAACGCACATTTGTCAATTACATGGCGATCATTTTCACTTTTAAACATTGCAAATAAAATAAGGCTATTTTACTCGAATTTTTTTTAATTTTTTAGTTTTGTTTAGTTTGTGCGTTGATGACAATTTCACTTTCAACATCATGGCCATACGATACCGGAATTCTACCAGACTCAATTCATTCACGTTCAATGGTCTGGGCCACAGGCAGTCTTTACGTTGCTTGGTTCGTGGTTTTGACATAAATCGCCTCAAGTTATAGACTCCTAGAACTCACACACACGTGGTCTGAAGGTACCTTCTCGGCACTCGCTGTAAGGGCTTGCATATATTACGTCACCCGGTAATACTGACTTAGAAACGTTACAAGACCCTGTACTCACACACAGTTAGGGTGCAACTTGAACAACATTGATGATTTTGTAACAACCATAAATTTACCATGATATCATTGGTCTAGAACAAACATGGTTTGAGTTCAAATTAACCGACATATCTGAATACTACTGATTCTCTGTATTAACCAGGAAACAAACAAAGAGGAGAATTCAGGGGCAGATCTAGGATTCTGGAATAGGGGAGGGCGATAATTTGGCCCATGGTTATAGTTGTTAAAAATGGGGGGCGCGGCCCCTTCGGCCCCCCTCTAAATCCGCCAATGGAATTAATATCAATTGGCATAAAACAACATCTTAGGAAAAGCACCACAATTTAACCTATCGAGGACATGCTATGGTGTAAAATGAAAGAGAACTTTTTCAACTTAACAACAGACGTTTAGTTATGTTTCGCTTATCACTCACCTTTAAATTCAGGACGCTGCAAATCAGACTGACACTATAAAGTATATATCCAGACGTTTAAAACAAGACAATATTATTTTACTCAGAGGTACACTACCTTATTATGTTAATAAAGATTGTAATAGGTTTACATCATTACCTAATTTATACATAGATGAGGATATACCAACAATTCGTAATAGCAGAGACACATACATCAATGCACATGGCAAAGCATTAGTTGAATTATGTAAAAATTATAACATCAGAATTCTTATAAGAAGAATGCCCGGAGATTCCAGTGTCAATTGTACATGCCACCATACAACGGAATATTAGCACAGTAGATTATGCAATAACCTATGCAATAGCAATATCATAAACGAAAGAGTAATGGTAGAAAAGTTAAACGTAACCCAAAAAGAAAATGGTTAGACAAAGAATGAAATATTCTTACAACAGATCTGTGTAAACCGCACGCATAATTAGTAAATATTCTTTTGATGTTAACTTAAATGGTTGTGCTCTTTGCGCAACGCGTGTTGGAAGTTTGTGCGAAAGCGGCTATAAACACCAAATGAAGTTTGAGCCCCACACGAAGAAGGGAAAAAAAAACGGCCGCGTAGTAATGTCATATGGTTCAACCCACCATACAGCTTCAACGTCTGTTACAGCATCGGCAATCGATTCCTTGATTTAATCGACAAGTGCTTCCCGACCATCAAAGTCAGCTACAGTTGTATGAACAATATAAAAGATACAATTATAGTAATAGTAAAAACAACTGCCAACTTGCTACTGATATGAACACCACGACCGACAAAACGAAAGTAAACAAGCCAGGCATGGCACAGTCCCCGTTATATAGTTAATCTTAGTTATATAGTTTTGTTTATAGTAACATAATACTTGTCCATATTGAGAGATATTGCTCTAGAACATAATTAATTAAAACAAAATGGCCACCGGTCGGCCATTTTTAATCGGATCGTCAAACCAATACATCTGTATATCTATGACATAATGAATACATGTATATACAATTTGGAAATCAGTCGAAGCATGTCAGAAATATGGCTCTAGAACTACATTCATTAAAACAAAATGGCCACAAGTCAGCCATTTTGAATTTTATCAGAAAAACAAAATGACTTGTATCAGGGACCCATAATGTCTAATGTATGTACCAAATTTGAACGAAATCCAACCATAAACGACCGAGATTCGGTTCCGGAATGCCCGAAATGCTTGATTTTTGATGATTTTTTAGCACAAAAATGGCCACCATTCGGCCATTTGAATCAGATCGCAAAACCAATATATCTGTATATCTATGAGATGGTGTATAATGAATATTTAAAATTTTAACATAATCAGCCAAAGCATGTCAAAGATATGGCACTAAAACCGCATTCATTAAAACAAAATGGCCGTCAGTTGGCCATTTGGAATCTGAAAACCAAATGACGTGCATCAAGATCCCATAATGTCCAATGTATGTACCAAGTGTGAATAAAATCCATCAGTAAACAGCCAAGAAAGGCTTGATTTTGATTATTTTTCAGTACAAAAATGACCGCTATTTGGCAATCGTGAATCTGATTGTAAAACAAATTGATGTGCATGTGTATAATATCATGTGTGATACATATGAGAAGTTTGAATGTAATCGGTCCAGGCATGTCTAAGATATGGGTCCGGACGCACGGATGCACGGGCGCACAGAGGTCAATCCATAAGCCCCCGGGCGGGGACTAATACGCTATTCAATTGCCAGAAGAAAAAAACGGCATGCCACTGGACGAAACAAACGTCGGACTACTGGAAATGAATTTAAAACACGACACGGAAACCACCCGGTATCATTTTGTAATCAGGCCTCTAGAAACTAATGCGACAGAACTAAGTAAGCATGTTTGGTCGCTGAAGAAAAATATATTGAGCATAGAACAACATGTCCAAATGTGAACATGTTAAATACTCTCTTGCAAAATTCTTTGAAATGCATGGAGAAAATTAAACGTTCAAAATAGAAACCAAATAATAATAATATTTAGTGGTGGGACAAATAATGTAGTCAAATGAAACCGAATGTTAATTGTTTGCTCAAAGTCCTCAAACGTGAGCCTAGTTATTCTACTTACAACGATTATAAAAATGGTTAAGGTCATTATTGCGCAAGCAAGCAAGATACTAGTAACTTTGATTTCCGTCAGCAAATTCGGTTTGCTAAGCGTTTCTGCCAGTGGTCACTGGTGATACAGCTACTTCTGGTATTCCAGAATCAATCTCTCCTCAAGATTGGTCAGAATATTTCTCAGGTTTATTTTACGCCCCGGGGAATTATGACATCGAATTGAGGACTTTTACAATGAAATGGAAGAACACGATAATGCAACATTCTTTTTAAATCAATGTTAATTATGACGAAAGCGCATTTAATATTTTTGACTAACCAATCACACTAGATGAAACAAGTAACCTGTAGAATGCTGTTTGGGTAATATTTTTATATTGATTTTTGTTGCATTTGGAGCAAATAGTTACCAAACAATGAGAAATCTATAGGATTGGATATACTTCTGAGCTGGCTTCACGTGCATAGTTCAAGCCTGCCTAGCAAGTGCTTATACAAGGATTGAATTACAGCACCTAGACGGTCTGTGGTTAAAGCTTTATGTTCAGAGTAATCGCAAAATTGATATTACAATAGAAAATCATGAAAGACTGGCAGTCCCATGCAATTAATAGCAAGTGAAATTCCTGAGATTGAAACATGTATTTTGAAGTCACTGATGTAGGCAAGC